ACCACATTCAAGCTACCGGTACTCTCAAGTTTGCCCAATAACATATGAACTTCATATGAACATATGAACCATTCGATTCCTCACAACCCCTGAATTCAGGATATCATGTATTTTGCCAAGCAATTCTGCTTAGTTGGGGAGATGTAGCTATTTTCTTAAATCTATCTCAAATAGCGCAGTCGCACTCATTCATGTACACTGTATCACTGTAGATTAAATCTATCAATGTGTACATTACTACAGCTCTATTGGGTTACCACCTTTAAGTCACCGATACTCTCAGGCTTGCTCTGTAAAATATGAATTTCTCTACTCCATTCGATTCCTCACAACTTCTAGATTCAGAATATCATATATTTCACTGATCAATTCTGCTTACTTGAGGAGATGTAGCTATTTTCTTAAATTTATCTCGAAATCGCAGTCGCGCTCATTCATGTACACTGTATCACTGTAGATCAAGTGTACATCACTACAGCTCTACAGGGGTTACCATCTTCAAGCCACCGGTGCTCTCAGGTTTCTCAGAAATTCTCAGATACTTATTATTGCTGTGCATAGGAAAGAAGGGCTTTGACGTTTCTCATTCCCGTTCGTATGACAGGCCAACCAACCATTTATTCGTTTTTTGCTGCGATGGTTGGCATTGGATGTTGATTTCATTGAAATATTAAGTACGCTTATATTTTCCACTCCGTTTCATAGGCTTAATATCCCGCTATATACAAATGAGTCAGCGAAATGAAGCTGAAGCAGAATTCATTATTGATGATTTAGTGGTACAATTGGTAATAATTGTGATACATGATATTATTGTTGATAGGACATTAGTGAAATCTTTCGTCCGACTTGAAGATATTCAATGAGAATTTCAATGATATTCAATGAATTCTATTTAAGCCATGTGCGTTAGATAACGAATAAAGATTTGATCCGAATTTAATTTTGCTCCGAATATATAAAAGGTTTTGGATCAGAAATGATCAGTGAAAGCAGCACGCAGCCATAGCACATACAGTAAGTTTGATTCAATTTGGAC